TGTTGCAACTGAAGAGACTCTTAGCATTTTAAATTATTGGTTAATAGCTTTTTCTGCTGGATTCGTTGGTTCTGGTGTAATTTTCATGAAAGTTTTTTCTGCTGGTGCTTTTGGTTTAATAGCTGCTAATGCATTTAATCTTTCAACACGTATCACTTGGAGTTGGAATTTTATTAAAAATTATTTCTTAAAAAATCGTAATTACTCTCAAAATGAATTAAAAGAATTACGAAGAATGTTATCTTTATCAAATCTATTACCACGATCATTAGTATTGATATCATTCTTTTTATCTTGGGTTATAACTTTTTGGTCAAATGAATATATTGGATGGGCTACTATGGATGCAAAGTTGAAACATGCTGGAGTTGGTTGTTTTTGCGCAATTATTGTTGCCAGTATTACGTATGTCTATACTTTATATATTTTTATAATAAATTTACATACTTAAGATATATGAATTTATTTTTTTTTAACTATTTATTATAGGTACCAGCAAGAAAGAATATTTATACAAGATGTGACAAGCCTTATTCGCGGTGACAGTCAGTCAAAGAAATTGGATTAATTTCTTGTTTTAATGAAATTCAATCGGAGAGTTATGACTTGAAAGTACCTATCAGATAGATTAAATAATAATAGTTTTGTAATTAGAGTTTGAGAAGATAGTTTTACTTTAGATTTTTTTCGGAGAGGTTTATAGCTATGTATAAAATCCAAAGACTATAACTACAAAAAAAAAAGCATTTGTCAAAAAATAATGTATAGTTATTAGTTATAGGAATTTTATAATTTTCTGCACTTTATGCTTGAAGGATTATTTAAAATTATAATCACTTATATGTGCATTTTTTCAACATATTTATAATTTTTCTTAAATTTTCAAATCAATTTTTTTATATACATAATTTAGATACAGTATATTATACAGTATAATATAAAAAATAAAGATTTTCGTTTGGTGATGCATGTAAATGTTTTTATTTGTAGTAAACAAATTTGGTTGTTTTATTGCTATATTTTATTATTATTATTATTATTATTATTTCTATTGTATGAAATTAAAAAAAATATCATAGTAGTTGTTGAGATATTTAATTTTAAAGAAAATATTTAGGAAAGTTTTTCTTTTTCTACTGACTTCTCCTCATATATTTAGCTCTACTATACTTAGTCCACTTTTTTAAAAGTTTCAAATATTAAATAAAAATTATATAGTTGTATTATTATTTTTATTATTATTAAATTATAAATATTTATATTGTTTAAAAGTTTTTTATAATAATTTTAAACTAAATTATAGTGATACAAATCGAAAATCGAAAAATCGATTAGTTGTCAACTAAACCAACTAATCGATTGGAAATTTTTAAAAAAAATAATTTATCGATTGAAAAATTTTGTCAACTTATAATAAAATAATCGATCAAAATCGATAAATCGTTTAGTTGACAACTAATCGATTGAAAATTTTTGAATTAGTCAACTAATCGATTGAAAATTTTTTGACAATTTGTAACACTACTAAATTATTTTAAATTCAATATAATAGAACTTATAAATAAGACAACTTTTATTATTAAAAAATAAGAGCTAACACCGGAAGTGTTAAACATAATATTTTGGATTATTGAAATCTTCAAAATGAAGTTTTTCTTTAATTACAAAAAGAATATTTGGATGATGAAAACAACAAATACCTTCACTTAAAAAATCGCTCAAACAGAAGGATTATAAATTTGTGATCGAAAAGTAATTTCGGGCGGTAAATGAAGATAACTCTGATTGGTTGAAAACTCGATTAATCGACTGATATTTGAATAATTGATAAAGATATATAATTAATGATGGAGCGAATAACTCGTTCGAAACAAATTTGTCCATTGGTTATAATGTTATCGATTTAATTAAGGGTCCAAATGATATTCTTCCGTTAAGAAAAAAAAATATATCCGAGAGACAATGTTAATTAACTATTTGAATTAATAAATCGTGAGTCAATACCGAACGTGTATGATTACAAACCAATAAGATATTTATAGAGTTATGCATATTGTTGGACATTGAAGTTATTTAACTAATAACGATAGTTCAAAAGTCCAAATAACAACATCCAAAATCAGAGGAAAAAGAATCCTAGAAAAAAACTAACCAAAAACTCTAATTTTTTAGAACGATCTGATCCGAATGAATGGGAAATGGAATCCTCAAGAAAAAACCAAATAAATGTTTGACGAATTTAAAGTAGAATTTGATGAAAAAAATATATATATACGATATATATATTTTGTTATGTAATTTTTAGAACATTAAAATTATCAGAAGAAGTCTCAGTATTCTTAACGTGTCCAGAAATCTGCGGTCGCAGTTCTACCCGAGAATAACATACATTATTGATGGATGAAGCATTTTGTGTTATTTTTTTAAATTAGGGTAGAATCCACTTATCGCGAGCAGTATTCTAGACATTCACGTAACTTCATTATTATCCGCAGTAAATTTTCTTTGATTGGTTAATAATTTTAAAGTCTTGCCGCGTTTACGTTATTATTATATCTTCACTGTTCATATAATAAAACTTTTTTTAATGGTTTTTTTATAATAAATGTCTTCGTTAGAAAAAATTCAAATATACGGGATTCGCTCTTTTAGCCCTGTTAGGCCACAGATCGTTAATTTTCAAACTCCTCTTACAATAATTGTTGGACCTAATGGATCTGGAAAAACGACTATAATAGAATGCTTAAAATACGCGACTACGGGCGAACTTCCACCAGAACCAACGAATCCAGCAGAAAAAGCTATTAACCAATAATTTAAAATGCTAAGAGTCTCTTCAGTTGCAACA